TATATATAATCCGAAAGCGAAACTACAGCACCACGAGGCGAAGTAACAATTCCAGACATCTTCTACTACAATGGCGTGGCTATACCAGAATTTGTTGAGGTATGTTGTTTGTTCTATAATGTAGCATGGTCATATATGTATATATATATATATATATATATGCTATACTTGTATCACATAATGAATATTGTATAACTATGATTCATGCCTAGGGTTCAGCCACCAGCCTCGAATTAAAGGCTGTCGCAAATAAACTTGTAGACGGTTGGTTTGGCAGACATTTTTCTACGGAGGCCATGAAAGAGGGATCCTACAACGAAAACTTCATCATGACGCTATTATCTAATGAAGCTTTCGTTATAGAGCTGTACGATGTCGGCCTTCTGAGCATGAAAATATGTCCGTGGATCGCGATGGTCTGCAGGTATGTGCTGATTATCTGTGAGTGAAAATTATAATTCAAGCGTTTGAGTTACTTGAGCCTGCAACTTAATTGAATGCTTTTACAATATACTCAGATGGAGTAGCCCATGTCTATCCACCCCGATCCCGTACAGTGCAGACGTTGTGTGCTGTTGAAGTGAAAACAGTTACAGCACACAAATTGATTCAAGCTCGTCTGACTGTTCGATATAATCATGGGAGATACTTCGCATGCAGTGTAGGCGATGATATATGGTATGATTCAGTACAGCGGCAGTACAGAGGTCAAGTTATACAAGAAGCTCTTGTGCTACAAGTAGATCATGTGTTATTTGTTGTGTGTACCACGAACGATATAACGTACATGGTACTTGTCAACGTGCCTGAAGAAATTAGATATGCATACTACAAGGCCCTTAGACGTTATGATCAATGCCTGGCATGGACTTACGAGCGTAAATCATGTCTAGCAAATATTTATTCTGTATATGATAAAAGGTTGGTCGACTCTCATCTCCCGATGTGGAGAGCAGTTCATGATTTTGTGACGTCAAAAGGTCCTATGCTTCCGTGCACAAATATCATCAGTGGCCCAGCAAAGTTGTATAGCAAACTCAAACCTGGTGTTGATAAAGCAACACGGTACACTGAGCAACTGTGTGCTAGCAATAATGCTATGGCTTTTCAGCCTAAACTAGTCACACGTTCTTTCGACCAGTTGCTCGTGAATTCCTTTCAAGCTACCCGCATACACCGATTTTATAGTGATGCGCCAGACTGGACAATCCAACGCTTCCGAAAACAGTGTACTCGTCAACTTCCTTTTAATGAATGTAAAAGGTCTCACAGCTATGGCTGTGCAACTGAAAGCAACACAGAGTTTAGCTGCAGCAGATGCAACTACAACCAATCAGGACACAGAAATGGAAGGCACGGGTGTATTCAACAGACATACCAGGATTTATCCACTTTCTAATCTGGATGCAGAGGAAGTGAAGCGCAGGGTGAACAGCTTTAGCAGGAATAAGTCCCAATGATTTATAGATGATGCGAAGCTAAATGAATTACGCTGTGATAGTGGTGGGCATCGATGGCACATATGGGGTGTTCCAGCAGATGTAGTGTGCGGATCCGTGGCTACAGGTGAACGGGCACGTGATAACTACAGAACTTGTGCTATGGTTGGATGTAAGCGAGAAACCACAAAAACGTGTGTGCGCTGCCAAATACGCTTATGCAGATCGCTCATACACGGACGCGACTATAGCTGCTATCAGTTGTTTCATACACCATCATTCAAAGGATCGCTCAATTTGTTCGATGATCAGGGCAACATTAAATAAACATAATATTTAATAAAGATTATCCTTCTTCGAATACGTGATTTCAAAATCAAAAACTAGGAATCAAATTGAATTATTTTGAATCACTTGTCAATTCGCTCGTGTTATTTTTAAAATATTAATCATTTCTTTATTTCGAAAATCTGTTGCGCTACCCTAGACCTAATTATAATCATCAAAAATCCTAAATCTAAATGAAAAATCGGCCAGAAGAGAAATATAAAATTGGGTGTCGAAAACATACCATTTCAAATTAGGAATTGAGTAAGTCGGAGAATATCCGACTTAATTTATGACTCATCATCTCCTGAGACTTTGTACCGTTAGTGGGTCATGTCAAAATAGTTACTCCTGGTACAAATTGTACTAAAAATACCGAAGTCGGAGGGTCTCCGAGTTCGCGATGTGGACTGGGGACCCTCTACTAGAGAAACGAAAAATTGCCACAACGGACTAAAGTCCGTAAGTCTGTAAGCGAATGCACACAGACCCGTCCTGACACATCAACAGATGTTCCCTATACCCCGACTATTCATGCTGTTGAAGTATTACTT